GATTTCTCAGTACAGAAGCAGCAGTAGCATCAGAAGTCTCTCCACACTGCCCATTTGACTAAGGCACAACAGAGAAGTAGAGGTCTTCAGCACGGTTACAAGAGCACCTCTCACTCTTTTCAATGCCCAATTCCAATACAGTACCCTGGATTTTAAATTTACCTAAAATACACAAAATCTGTTAAGTGGCTTACAAAATTAGCAGTGAAATTACTCCTGAGGACAAAACAACTCAAGTTGTTATGTGCACAAATGTCAGCAGCAATTTGTGAGAGGCTTCAAACTAGAACCCCAGGCTTCGGGGGTTAGGAGCTAGCAAGATTTCTGCAGCAGAAGGAATATTCCCCTTCAGATATGCAAAGCTGGAATTATTAAATGACTGACCGCAGACTGACCGTAATGGTTAAAACATAGAAAATCCTGTTACTGTCTATTTTCTCAAGACCTCGAAAGCATATTGATTTGTAAAAGCACATCAGTTTAACTATCAAATGAGGACAGTTCCACTGTCTTCTCAGGCCTGTGCCTTAATACTCCCTTCATGATCTGTTAAAGGCTTAAGATCTTAATTAAAAGGTGTCTTTCAGGCTTCACAGATGATCTGGGGAAACACATTCTTAAGATATAGTCAGACCACTACTGTAATATTTATTAAACACAATTTCACAGATCAACATTATATAGCAGAGGAAATAGAATTGCAGAGAAGCTTTCACTAATGGAATTCTGCTACATAAAAAAAACCTAAAACCAAAGTAAGATACAAAATACTATTCATAAAAATGATAGCTTGATTTACCAGATCCTCACTAAAGGGATCTGTAGCCCCTTTGATCAGCCACTTCAAGTGCTTCTTTATAAAGGAACAAAAGAAGGGTTGTTTCTATTTGTATTGTTGACTTGATGTATTTTAAATTTAAAAGCCCAATTTAGTTCAATCAAATGAAGGCAACCAGCTGTAAAAGAACTTTAGCACATTACAATCAGCAGCCAGAGTATATGCCAGTAAAACCTAGAATCTGTTTCTAGAAATGAACTAATTATTTTCTTCCCCCTCCCCATTTTGAGGGCAAGCTTTCACAGTAGACTCCTAGATTTTAAAAATCTAAATCTCTTACTTGATTTCAAGTGATTGACACACTACTAAAACTCTCAGTAAATTGTTGCAGTGTTTAGCTACCTTCATCCTCTCATCTCCAAGGTCAAGGCGACTACAATGAATTATATCACATTACAAGACTGTGTTTCAGGATTTTTTTATCCATAATCCTTACCCCAAAGGAAAAAAAAAAAAGCATAATGAAATTAATCCAGTTCCTCCTACGAGCTTATTCATGTTTGGGGATTAACTGCAAATATGTGGATGCCTGAAATCTTCTATTCTATGCTATTACTACCATATAATTTTCAGTTTGAAAACATTCAGAGGCATAAGACTAAAGGGCCTACTTCTTTTGACCTAATTGACCTGTATTACAGCAGTGCATGACCTGAATCTATCAAAGCCAACAGTGCGCGACCTGACAGTAAAAACAAGAAATAATGATAATTACGGATCACTGTTGCCAGTACAGACATATTTTTAACACTGTCTGAAATACAACAATTGAAGGATGGTTAATATTAGGTCATGAAATTAAGTGTCTCTTGATAAAAATTTAACATAGCAATAGGTATTATTTGGATTCAGGGAACATCTGTTTTGATCTTAGTAATGTGCTAATATTTAACAAAAAAATCAGTGCAGAGCAGTACATAAAGAAGATATCCACAGGCCCTGTTCTGCTACTCCTCACTTTATCTAAACTCTCCTGCATGGCAGATGGTTGCTAATTGCCAAAAGAGGCAAAAGATAGCGTATTAATGCACATTTTGTAAGCATTATCTGGTATCTGTTTCCCTCCTTTTAAATCATTACCTATGATCTTTGGTTCATCCACTCCCCAGATTTCTTCCCAGTGTCATGCTACACCCCAGTATCACCACTCAGAATACTCCACCTTCCTGTAGCACTTCTCCGATACCAAGTATTTGATAGGCTAGTAACAAAATCAGAATATTTGTCAAGAGTTCCTGATACCGCTATAGATATGTTTCACCCTGCATTATCTAAATGGCATCATCCTATAAGAAAATGAAGTATATTAAAGACCATTTATATACTGTTCTAGAACAGGTTTTTATATGCTTCTCATTGCAAATGAATTATGTCTGAGCTATGTTTTAAAACTCTTCCTGTTTCATTGTATATGAGCTCTTCATCCCTAATACTGTGAAGACTCAAGCACAAGCCGATCTAGAAATACACAGAAACATATAAGAATATGGTGTTGGAAAAGACAAGCTTTAGACGCCTGCAATCACAAGAAATATTGTCATGTGATCTTTTTATTAAGCTGACTGTGTTCCAGACTAAAACTTAACCTTACAGACCCTGAGGAGGAGGAGTTGGTGGTGGTGTTTGGGCTCTTTTTTGTCTCTTCTTTTCCCAGTGTTCCACATTTGTGATTAGACTGGACAGACTTCTGGGCAAGATCTCACCAGGGCTTTGTATGAAATAAACTTCCACTTCTCTGTCTCTCTCTTGGAAACATCTACACTCACTATTTCATCTTAGGATATCTACCTTTCTTAAGGCTCACTGCATGTGTCTTCATCTGGTCAGCTAGTATCCCCATGTCCACCTCCATTATTTTATAGTAATTCTAGTGCAGAAATTCTTGTTACTAGACCTTGGGTCCTAGTACAAATACCTGCAAGGTCATTTTTGTTCCACTTTAGATCATGAGAGGGATGGTACGTTGCACTTTTAAGAGATGCATCCCACAACATGCAGCTTGAGGAAAAAGTAGACAAGATGCCTTTGAGCCATTGTATTTTCTCTTTCCCTTGTCATGAGCTGCCCCCAGAGAGGAAAGCGTCGTGGCTGTAGCAGCTCATCATAAAATGGCGTAAGCCATAAAACTGTCCCCAGTGGAATTCAAACAGCTCTGAAATGCTGCCCATGTTACAAGAGAAGTGTGCTTTGCACTTTAATTAAGTCTTGCATACTTCACTATTTAGTTTTCACCCAGTTCTTATAGCAAGGGGCTCTGGTCTTCATGTGGCTGCAGCTCTTTTTCCAGACATGATATGGCCAGACTGAGGATAAGAATCTCACCCAGCAATTTGTCACCACAGGATTATGCTTCCAACTATAATGAGAGATGAACCACAGAGTGTAGCAGTATCAATTAGCAGAGTATATCATCTAAGTAAGGCAGGCTGCTCCTGCTCTAGCCTAAAAGCAGCAGCAAGACATGCACAAAACAACACTACCCTTTAAACAATTACTTTTCTTCCTCATAGCTCATCCTGGAAAGCAGAACTACCATGACACAATGGCCACTGAGATTGAGAAGGGGGCAGAAGATACACAGATATGGTTAGAAAGCACACGCATAACTGACAGGAATGAAAGACTACTGAAAGCTGCATTTTTCTCAACATTATGAGCAACCTACATTATACTGTTAATTTCTCTGTGCTTTCCACGTGAGAATTTGGAATCTGTAACCCAGACAACTTAGGGCACTGCTTTATTGTCAGGGCTTGTCCACATTTGAAATTCCAATTCCATGGAAAAAAACTGAAGTTTTACTTTGCTTTTGGTTCCAAATTAGAACTTCTAAAATACACTTCAGAGCAAAAAGGTACCAGTGGGAAGGACCAGCCAGAAGAAAGGGGAACAGACTGAAACTGTTTCAACCTTTATCTAAACATTTTGATAAAATTAGATTTCCTTTTGATAATGATTTAGATTTATTTGACATCATTGTAATATGACACGATCTAATAAAAAGTTCAAACATGTAGACTGTAACTACATCATTTTAAGGAAAAAAGTTAAGTATTTTTAATTATAAAAGGAAATACAGTGATTGATGTTTTAAGTAGATATAAGTAATCAAAGGCAATACTCCCCTGCAACTTAAACACACTGCGGGAAACAGCTACAGTGCTGTTGCAGATATGGGAGGGAAGGGAAAAGCATCCTCTCTTCCATCACATCACACGGTAGATACAACACATCAACTGTGCTATAAGAAGAGCCTACAGTTCCCTCTGTTCTTCTAGCTATAAAAGCTACCCCACTGTACTGTAAAAATGTAACAAAAAAAAAATCAGACTGTAAAAATCAAATGAAAAGGTCATGTCATGTCAGAAGACTGGACACCAGGGGCATCCTTTGGAAAGGTTTTTCACAAAGGAGTGGGAGAGCCAGTGTTAGCTGGCCGGCTCTATCACTTTACTTCATTAAAATTCCATTATCCACCACAGAACATGGACAAGATCCTATTCCCTGGTGGAGAATTGAGAGGGAGAGTTTGGAAATAAGGCAAAAAAGAAAGAGATTTTTTAAAAAAACTACAGAATATTCAGAAGCTTAAGGGAAAATGTGGCCTTGCAAATCAATATGTTAGCAGTTCACAGCAATTGCTGATCGAAATTCTAAATAAACATAAAATGTTTGTGTGTGTTTTGTTTAATACCCGTTCATTTGCTTCTCTCAGTTTTGAAACCTTCGGTATGATGGGATCAGAGTTAATGGGACAAATAATAAAGTGTTGTTATTCTTGACTGAACCAAGAATTCTTTTCCTTGCTACAGAAGCAAACAGTCCAAAGAAGCAAAAGTCATGAGGTCTTCTTGTCTTAAACCACAGTTTTACCAAACAACCCTGTACGTGATACATAAATAAGCCTTTGGATTTTAAGTGCACACAATTACAGTGTAGTAAGCCCTGTTAATTCCTTGCAAAATTTTGCCCATAAGGAATATAAAACAATTACCTTTAACACAAAGTTATTTTGGTATTTCATTAGTGTTACCAAAACAGAGAAGTAGAAGAATGGCATTTTTATTTTTCTGGCTTATTTCCTAGTTCATCCCATAAAAGGAAAAAATTAAGGAAAAAAAGGAAAAGAAGGGAAGAATAAATACAGAAATATGGTTCTTACCCTGAAGAGCGGCAGTCTGGTTTATTTCTTTCAGAGCGATCTGTGAGAAAGGAGGCATAATATCAGCGCAAAAGTTGGATGTTCTTTAGCAATACTAGTACAGAAGTCTTAAAAGAACTGTGACACCGTATGACTAGCAAAACCAAAAGCTGATTCTGTTATAAAACTGTTTTTCTGCACTGGACTACTCTGCCTGAGACCAAGTAAAATTACTGCAAGTTTAACATTTGTTAAAATTCCTCTACTCAAAACACAGTGTATTTAATGTTTTGTATTAATGCTTTGGAAGCTTCCCCTCCCTTTAGCTGAAATGAAAAGGACTTTAGTTTAGGGTAAAAATAAGGGAGAGAGAAGAGGAAAAAAGAAAAACCACAGATTACTCAGCGCAAAAAAATCATTCCATGAATCACGGCTGGCAAGAGTTCCCTGACAGGATGGGAGAAAAATCAGCAGTTGGTTGCAGCAACATCTGCAAATACACTGAATCCAGTGCAGCCCCATCATTAACTCTTCAACTTCTGGGTGTTCTAGATACTGAATCTTCCTGTGGTTTTAGAAAGGGGTTTGTTTATCCTGTGTGTATTTCAAGTAGCCTAGCTGCACTAATGAGATTGACCTGCAAATAAAAACCTACACAGTCCAATCATATCAACTCAGATAAACTTCTTTTGCTGAACAATTTATCAGTTGCTAAAGTCATCTAGATAGATTTCTAAATTTTATTTTTGAAAGCTCTGATATGCAAAGAAAGTATAAAATACTTCTCCTAAGAGTTAAGATTATCGTACAAGCATTACAAAATAACCACTGTGTTGTTATTAGAATTCACATATTATCAGTTATATTCTAAATCCAGAATATCTATTACCGCATGACTTTTGAGCTACCTGAAAGAAGCAATTGAGATTTGTGTATTCCTAAAATACATATATTCTAACTGACCATGGTAATTTTGCTTCTGCTTTCATCTGTGTGTATTTTAAACAGAAAGCTATTTTTCCTGTGTTAGTAAACACTTTACTGAAAAGCTTGTCTATACAGAACAATAAGAGTCTTCCTAAAAAAATTTTCATACTCACAGATGGTATTTTTAATCTTAAAGCTCTGCATTTGAAATTAAATTTGTTCTCTTAATAGCACACATTTGTTTGTGCAGTTTTATCTCGTATACAGAAGAAATATTTTCCTCTCCAAGTTTTATGTGTCATTTTATTATGTTTTCATTAAAGTGGTAAAAAACTATTGCATGTCAACAGTGTTCAAAGAAGTATCTAATGCTTTTTCCATCCATAGGTGCTCCTATTGAGCTGTCATAGCCACACAGTGTAATAATTTACTGTGTTTCTGACTCACAGCAATCTCCATTTCATCGCACCGTGTGCTACTCTGTTAAGCTAGAAACAGCATGGTATAGCTCAAACCAGAGTTGCAGCAACAGTTGTTCAAACGCACACAGGAAGGCTCTTTCCATCCTTATCATTTGTTCATGTAACCTCTGTACCTGTGAGCACTTGAAAAAAATAAGACTTCCTACTGAAATCTGCTTGCCATCTGTTGCTTGTTCTCAGTGTTCCCTGTTATGTACGCAGCCACAATCTAACAGTATTCAGACAAAACCTTCCCACTTCTAAAAAGACTATGTGAATAAATCAGTGAGAAGGAAGAAAAGGAGTCAGGGCACATGTAGACACAGAGCCTGGGAGCTCTCCCCCTCAGTCCACGTACAGTTGGCAGATCCACCACAGCCCAGCCACACCGCTGCAACCTGCTCGTTCAGGAAATTAATGCAATTCCCTTTTCCCTTTTGTTTTATTGAAATGTTGAAACAGGAAATATTACCTTTGTTTTTACACATTATATTTACTGCTAAACTTAGTGAAAGCACATCATCCACATCTACACTGGTCTTACTAAGAAGAACAAAGGGAAATGTAATCCTACAAGCACGCAGTTAGCATTTTAAAGTAGAAACAAAACCTGCACCTGTTTAAGGTTATTGTGAGCTTAATCATTTAAATTTGATTTAGTATCAAGTGTAACAAGAGACTCAAAGAGCTGAATCTTTCAATTTAGTGCTTAAATTTTGCAATTCTAGATGCTGTTTTGGCATCACGTACAAGCACCAATTCAAGTAATGTCACACACCTCTAGAATATGAAAGCCCAGAAAGAACAGGCAAATCTTTTCTTTTTTTTTTAATATACACACACACACATATATATATATGTTACATTTAAACACACACATATGCAGATCCCATTCCTGCATTCTGCAGGCAAATCCTTGGCTCACAAAAGTGCATGCCCACAGCTGATTGTCTTTTACTCTATACATGTTACTTCAACAACTGAGAGATCTCTTTGTAATCTTTTCTAACAGAAATAAGCAAGAAGACCATATAGATGCAAAGATCTGAAAATCAAATCCTGCACTACAGATTTTCCTCTATATCAAAGACAGAAATTGCTATAAAACATTACGGGACATGATGTCTTTCTAGCACAATACTGTATATCCTTCAATTCTAAACTCTGGAAGCCAAAACCACGTGTCAGATTAGAGCAAACATTGAATGTTTGCTGGACTAGCATGCACAATGAACAAACAAGGCAGTCCACACTCCGGCATGGGAAATTTACAGGAAAAAATTCCACTTCCAGTGACAGATACTACCTTCCAGACACAAGCTTCCACAGATGAGACACCAGTACTATTCTCCCTATCCTTGCGTCGCTAAAGTAATACAATTCCTTACTGTGTATGTAGTTGTAGTCAAATAGGCTAGGAATTCCTTAGCAGTTGGTACTCACAAGCTAGAGAACTGGATTGTTTGATTCTAAGTTTATTTTGGTTAATGAACTATTCTTGAAAATCAGCATCATCTCCCTAACCTGATAGTTAGAGGAGAAGAGTGTGTAGTTCAGGCTTTGTGCTAGCATGGCAGATCTGTTCTCGATTTACTGACAACTACCCTAGAGGTGGTGCGGTGCTATCACCTCTCTAATTTTACTACTGCAGATTTTGCCAGCTAGTTCAGATAGCTCAGATAGCACAGACGTACACCACAGATATGGTTCTTCTGCAGACAGAAAAAAGTTCTTTCTGTCTGTCCTCCAATCCACAATTCATATAGCCAGAGACTTTCAGTCTCTCAATCCGTAAGAACTGACCATCCTCCAACCTCCCGCAGTCCAGACTTAAAAGAGATTTTCTCCACTTCATACTAGCATCTACTCTTTACAAAACCTTTGCTGCCCTTATATAAATACAGCCAGTGCGGGAGAAATATATTATCCTTGTTCAGCAGCAGGATAGAGTGCAAGAAGTCAAGGAGCTGGCAGGTGGAGCAGACAAGGTGGAAGAAGTCAGAGACTCCTGGCTGAGGTTGGGAAGACTGGCGCCAAGTTTTAAGCACTGCAGAAGAATCAAGGCAAACACCAGGAGACAAAGATCCACTATTCATACCACAACTGTTTGGCAAATCTACTGTTTATTTACAAAATCGTGCTGTGTATATTTCATCAATAGCATGGACACTTTATGCTTTTTTTCAGCATTCAAAGATTGAGCAGCAGACAGAAATGCCATGTTCCAGTTGCTTTCAGAAAGGGTCAGGTTTCTTTAACTGGTGATTCTCTTTCCCTTCAAGCATGGGAAAATTATCTTCTTTGTTTGTTTGCTTTATTATGATAGAAGTTTTTCTTCTCAAGGAAAATATAAACATAACCATCAGGAGAAAAATAACTGACTCAACATTATTTCAGTTGCTCCACAAACTCAGAATAGCTTAAGCTTTTGCCAAAAAGACCACCAAAGCAGAAAACAATAGTTTTTAAGGCATTCACTCTTGTCTCTGGAAGACAAGCAAAGAAAAGGAAAAAGGCAACTCGCACCAAACGGAGCCATTGTTTTTCTCTGTTTATTTTGCAAGCTTCTTCAAAGTATCTTGTTGCTAAGAGTGACTTCAACTGAAAAGCGTGCTTTTACTAGAAAAAAATTTAAGTATAAACATGAAATGCTGTTGAAAAATGCATGGAAAGTTAACACACATACTGCTGCTTCAACCCTGCAAAGCTACTGGGGAACTTCCAATGCAATTACCTCCTGACATAGGTAGCTTCCTACTCTTAACCCCATCCCACAGCTTGATCTCTTTTAAAAGCTGAATTGGCTGAAGGGAGCACAGGGGGGCACACAGCATTACCATTTCTGGGAAATACTGTATTTTTCATCTTAATTATGGGTCTTGAATTGAGCAGCCACCAGAGGGGGCAGGACATCGTAACACTTTTCAGGAAGACATGTAGTTAGAGCAACCAGCTCTCTCCATCTCTTGTTTTTAGCCCCTGATGGCACAGCAGTGGTTTCATAATGAAAAGTAGCATGAGATACTTATAACAATATTTCTGTAACAATGGCAAACCTCTAGATAAACCAAGCAATGAGAACAGTGGACTCTTAAGCAGTGCTGGCAACACCAAAATACAGAATATACAGAGAAGTCATATTCTCAGAATAGGCAATTGTTGAAAGAGGCTATACAACTTGCCCTAATCTGAACGCATTAATCCCCAATGAGCATACTTTTGTAAGCTTCCAGGCCTTAACAAACCTAGATGCTAAGATCAATGCAGCAACATCATGTAGAAATGCGATGGCTCCTACCATTATTTTAGTAACGCGTATCTTGACTATTACCCATCTGACTATAGCTAAATGGTGCAACAGTCCCCGTTAGCCAACTGCTTTAGATCAAGAGCCCCAAATTCAAATTGCCAGTGTAGATGGGGCCCTCACTCAAACTAAACTGCACATTTTCTGGGAAAAAGATCTGCATTTGTGCAGGATTTTCAATGCTAGTTACTTTATTTGCACTGAGATAAGCAATAACTGCCATTGATATTGCAATCTTTTTGTCTTCCATTCTGTTAAGGCACACTGTGGCTCACAGCGACTCTTCCTTCTTTTTAGCACTTCTCTCAGGTAAGGAGTCAGAACAAAGCAAATTAATTCCACTGTACAGAATCTACTATAAATTTCATTCAATTTTATTAGGAACTGCTATACAACAAAACCCATAAAACTGAACATTTATTTATGTATTTTAGTATCGTAACGGCTGAGTCCCTTATCAGTTGTTTAAAAAGCAGAAGGCTCAAGGAGAGATTAATGATAGGCTTGGAAGAAACTTTTTTCATTTAGTTTATGTAAAGCTTTCCCTTTACTACAAAAGGCCACAAAACCAGGACACACTCAAAGTTGATAATTGTAAAGGCAGACAGTTTTTATACTTGCTTTAAATTCTACAGTATGCTGCTGAATTCCAGAGCAGTACATTGCAGGGAAAAAAATACATTATAACCCCCTCAAATGAAATGACACTAGTCTGCCAGTTTTAATACTGAACAGTAACTGAGTCTTTTAAGCACAAAGCATTCCTGCATTATTTTTATACTTGGAGTAATGCTTTTTTCCCCCACTCTTAAGCATGACTGATACATTGGGGGGGGAGGGGCGGACCCCAACACATACCTAAAAACACATTGAACCTCTGTGGTTGAGTATTTAACCTTGAAACCTACTGACCGCCGTAAAGCTTGTAATTATCCAAAGACCATATTCTTTAACTTGCTAAAGTGATTAACAATAAACTATAGTCACCTTTAAAGCCTTTTGTGCACTTGCACAATATATAAGCAAAAAGAGAATTTACTGGACAAGAGAGGCCACATTTGCCAGTGCTACATTTGCTGCTGATTTGGTTTTGTGACTCTGAATTTCCACCCCCTCATTCTTGCTCCTATGTTACTCCTCCATTGCAACAGCAAAAGTGTGCGTGCATCCGTGTGAACATACACGCCAGCATGAGTGGGGCTGATGCAGAAACAAGAAAGAAAGGAAACAGGCTGTGTAAGCTCTCACCGCTTCTCAGAAAGGTCCATGTTATAAGAACCTAGACCAAACTTAGCACCAGGAACTGGTCTTGTTCTCAGGCCATGAATGATAAACAAAGTATATAAGCAATCAAATATACCCAGCATATGCATATGTTACCACACTTTTATCTTCTACCACACTTGTTTAAGAAGAAAATTCAGGATATAGTTGTTTCTAAAGCTCTTTTTTCAAGAAATGAGCAACTCCTGAAAGTACAAATCCCCACATCTTCATATAAGACACCCCAGCTGATCAGTGCAATGTAATTCTTAGATTATGTGCTTCAGGTACAAGCAGACATAGGAATCAGCACATGCCAGAATCACAGTGGGAGCTACTCAAAACGAGCCCTATTACTTAATTTTTTTGATACTTTCATGAGGAAAATAGCAATTGACTCAACTTTTTGATAGACAAAAGATTTCTAACCACAAAACACCTTCCTCTCTAGGCATTTCAGAAATGTTAGATCTACATTTCTGAAAACTATTTATCTGATGTTGCTAGCATTGCCAGTAAAAGGAAATTATCTTTCAAGAGCACGGTAGTATCTTTTTCTTCCCAAATCAGAGATTCAGCATGTCTGTAGAGGCTCTGCATATTCCTCAACTAGACAACAGAGCTCAGTCGTACGGTATGTCTGCTGCCATAGGCTGCTGACATACAACATGCAATAAATGCAATACAGTTAGACATGTGTCAATAAACTCGTGGTTCCTACACTGTATTAACAGAGCATCTTATAAACATTCATACATCATATCAAGATCCAAATGTATTCAATTATTTTTCTCCTCAGGGGTTTGCCCTGCTTGTGGACCAGCATATCCAGCACCAAAAGAGCCTCCAGCTTTGAACACCTGTGCATAGGTACACTTACCTGTCACAACATGCCCCTTACTGCACTAATTAGGGGCACACTCCATGCCTGGAGACCTAAGGTATGCACAGAGAAATATTGCTGTTGAGTGACTAAGACAATCATGATAAAAGTCTTTCTAAAAAATAATATAAAAAGAACCATTTTCTTTATGTTTTCCACAGGGCATTTGGCTAGTTTGTTTTGTATTTTTTTTCTGTTGAACGACAGTTTCCTAAACTGGTGCGTTCCTGGCACAGGATAATTTGAGGCTATGACTGCAGGGGATATAATTTCCACCATTTAAGCAATTTCCTTTGACCTTGTCCTGGTTTTGGCTGGGATAGAGTTAATTTTCTTTCTAATAGCTAGTACAGTGCTGTGTTTTGGATTTAGTATGAGAATAATGTTGATAACACACTGATGTTTTAGTTGTTGCTAAGTAGTGCTTATGCTAGTCAAGACTCTTCAGCTTCTCATGCCCTGCCAGAGAGAAGCTGGGAGGGGGCACAGCCAGGACAGCTGACCCCAACTGGCCAAAGGGTTATTCCATACCATGTGACATCATGCTCAGTATATAAACTGGGGAGAGTTCTATTTTGTATATTCTTTTATCATTATTATTATTATTTTCCCTTCCTTTTGTGTCCTATTAAACTGTCTTTATCTCAACCCATGAATTTTACTTTTTTTTTTTCCCAATTCTCTCCCTCATCCCACTTGGTGGGAGGGGAGTAAAAGAACGGCTGTGTGGTGTTTAGCTGCCTGCCGGGTTAAACCACAACATACCTACACAGTACAAAACCATGTGTTGCAGAAACAGCCTTTGTTGTATACATTTCAGATAATCATTTACAATTTTTGAGAAATCACACCCTACCTTATTACTTTCAAAAGATGGAATCTCCATCTACTATGCTATATATTAAGAATATTTATTCTTGAATGTAAAACACTTTGCAAATTTCACCCTTCCCACCCTCCCTACCAACCCAACAATCCTGTCCCATTGGGCAATTAAGAGTTTTCTGAACGTGCTTACTCAAAACAATCTCTTGATTGTTGAGATGGCAAACCTCAACAACAAATGTCTCCAGTGTAATCTTATGCATTATGCACTTGGAAGTTGTCTTATTTAATGTGCGTGTGAAGCCACTGACAGCAATAGAGATGACACTGCTTCCAATTTAGGAATTAGACATTATGGTGAGGACAAGTAAGTGCATAGGTCTGCACTTTGGGCGGAATTTGGAGACTAGGGGGACGAAATGACAGAGAGAAAGAAAATTACTTATTAAAATAAAAGATTGTAACACACTCAACCATAAAAGAACAACCTCTATAAAAATAGAAGAAAGGTACCAGGCAAATAACAGTATTTACTTCTCTTAAGATACCACTGAAATACTCAATAGCTTGTTCTTGGAATGTTTTGTGGTCCCTTGTCACTATTTATGATGAAAGAATCCCCAAACTGTTTACCCAGTCCACAAAAAGACACCTAACGAGAAATTCTTAAACCTCAATGATTTTGTTGCAAGTACTGATTTTCTATAGAAATGCATTTGAAATTAGCCTATTAACAAAATATTTTCCTCCAGTGACATTGGTAATTCTGCCCAACAGTCACACAGAAATAAAAAATTCTGGGAAAGCGAACGTAACAATTGCTTCTCACACGCATTGGATTTTTCTTAAGTACCACAAAATGGATTATTCCCAAAAAGGTCTCTTGCACTTTATTGTAAAACAAAGATTACAAGATCTAGAAACATCATAAAAGGGACTAATTCAAAGGTGTAAAAAACTGATTTGCTTAATAATGTTGGTATATACCAATAAATTGTTGCAACCTGAGATAACCCTCATCCATTATCTTTGAGCACATGCTTAAAAGTTGTGCAACTCTAAACTAGTATTCCACAGAACAGGAAGCCCAGCACTTGTCTATTCTTGAAACGTGTCCTATTTTAATGCATATTATTTGGTAACGTAGAGATCAACATCCAAAATTCATTTTTTCAGATGTGAGTCACCTGGCATTCTGAAGACATTTTACTGAGGCGTGAGATGAGTTTATCCACATCTACTCCAAGGTAAGTGTTAAACATCTACCAAATCCCCTTTAAGGTACCTCAGACTCCTCCGTTACTGATATAACACGTGTGCATGTAAATCCACATACGTGTGCCCTTTGGTCCTTGAGGACCATCCTGACCAGAAGTCACCATGTACAGCTGGATTCCTTGCACCATGATTTCACCTCTTGCGGAAGGCCCATCTGTGCAGTAAATCTGATCACTCTGTAGCCACGTCTTTTGCATCAGCCCCGTCCATGGGAAAATGAAGGTGTGCAGACTCATCTGACCACCACTAACTCAGGGTCTTACTACAACTTGAGGTAGGAATTTGAAATGGAAGGCCAATTCAAACAGTCGGAGGGCATCAGAAGTCCTGGCTAATCAGTAAGAGTGCCAAAGAGCAGCGGATTACTGAGGAAGCCCACAGGTCCTCAGTGACTGTGACAAGGACAGAAAGATGTGGTCACTGGATACCAGTGCCATTACCTTCTTAACACAGGTCCACTTGCCTGACCAGTGTGGAACATACAGATATCCTCCCAAGCTCCAAAAGAGAAGAAGATAACAATGTTTTATAAAGAGGGAAGACAGGAGAAAAAAGAGGGGGACAACAAGGAAACGGCAAGTCACAGAATAGAAACACCACCTGCTGTGATGAAAGAGAGGCAGGCAACCCTTCCAGAGCGCAGGGCTTTTAGATCACGTGATGAGAACTTCAAGCATGCTCAGCAAAAATAAGTGTGGTTCACAACACACAGCTTGGTGTTTTATTTTTTTTATTTAAAAATTGAAAACATGGTTGAATTCAACACAATTTACAAAACATATACAAATCAATAAAAATACTGTGGTCTCTCTGTGTACAAAATGAAAGCTGTAAGTCACAATTCTAAGAAATGCCTTATAAACAAGCACTCATATTAGAAGCATACACCTTTCATTCTTCACATGTGGCCCTTGTACTTTAGACAAAAGCTGAATGCACCTATCTCCGGGCTCCTGAGAAATTACAGTATTTCACAGAGCCTTCTCATCTGTTTTTCCAAATGTTTAGCAATTGTACTTCCTCCTCCTTCCAGCCTCTCAAAAAAGACACAATAGAAAAAGCAGCTATTATAAAAGTAATTTTTTATATCATATTATATCATATAGCCCTTGACATCAGGCTAGTGCATCTTGTCGCCAGTATTCTAAATGCAAATTCCATCCATTCAGTTGCTACTCATGGTAACACGAAGCAGTTTCCCTACTGTTCAATGAGAAGCTTCAAAAACCATAAGGCAACTTAAAATGACCAAGCAAAAGGATGGCAAAGCCATAAGCATCCAGAAACCCTCAAAACAAAGGATCCTGTGTTTACCGCAGATAAACCCAGGGTTCCTGGGCACTCTGGTAAAGCTGGCAGAGACTGTTCTGATTCATCAGAGAGGAGTACCTCTCCTCCCACGTGCTCCCAGACCTCTTCTCTCCCCGCTCCTGTGTGCACACCAAAAAGGCCTACAGATCCTGTCAGAGACATCCAACCTCTGTAAATACACTAATAAGTACCTCTATATTGCTACGGTGCCAAGAGTAAAATACCATAACGACACACCTCAATTAAATAGTTCTTGATAATGGATCCACCAACATCAAGCTAGGGGAGAACAATTAGAGAAAGGAAGCGTGCCTAATGTCACGGCAGCAGCTACCATGCATTTCCCAGAGATGTTACTGCTGATCTACGGCAAGCTTTGCACACCAGCATGGAAAAACAGATTTTGTCATCATGAAGTTATGCCCATGAGCACTGGATACACGAAGTCTGCAGCATTATCCCATCTCATCATTCAGTGATACCTGTCCCATGCTGGTAGTGACACTCTTCCAAGCACTGTCTTGACCTGCTTAAACAACGGACATGGTAGACTACAGCAGGTGTCCCACTCTCAGGAACTCCATTCTCAGGTGAACTTCACCATTCCAGTCTGGAGATCACTGCGTGTTTCTTCAGACATACTTGCAAACGTTGACAAGCTTATGACAAATGACAAAGCTTACAGCATTTGTCATCAGATAAACTGTGGCACCTGACAATGTCATTTTCAAAGTACTAGGTGGAAGGAGAGAGATTTTTTCCAAAACTTTTACTCTGATCCCAAGTCTCACATTTCTATTAGTTTCTGCGTCCTAGATTCACAGTGCAGACAGTCATAAAATGAATACAGCACACTGATGGAGCAATTTATTATGAGAAAGTTATCAAAATGCTGAGCTTGTTTCCAGGCGTTTATGTCCCATTGCTCCAACAGGATGAGCCAACAGTATTTTAATAATGAATAACATCACTGCACACTGTTCACTCAAAAATTCTTGTAAATGATTTAACACAGATGTGCACAACCTGAATCAATTTTAATGTGCAGATCTGTGATATTGAATACTCAGCTTTTAATGCAAGACAGAGTGCATGATGAATACAAATCTATCACCTTAAGAAAACAACTGGTATTAATTTTAGCTTACCTCTTATAAATAGAAGCAAAATGTTATAGCTGAAGAAAAAAATCAAATGGCTTCTTTTATGCGTACAGTATTCTGTCTAGAAGGAGAATGGATCAGAAACCCCTTCATAGGAAACACAGTGCTTGAAAATTTACCTAAGTTTTTAAGAGTGTAAATCACCATACTCAAAACCATATTAAAAAAGCAAAATATAGATAAAAAATTTATCATCATCATTCAAGAACTAGTGAATACCCAGTAAAAATACCAACCAGCATGTAAAAGGTAGTAACTGATTTTATAAAATGAGTAATTGTGTTTCTTACTACCATGTAAGATTTGAAGATCAAAAGTGTAAGTGGGTTCAAAAAAGGAATTGAATTCGTGAAAGATGAATCCATTGGCAACTATTTAGCAAGGCCTTTCATGTGCAGCCTCTGAGAAGTTGCTAAGACGTTGACTGCAGAGGGGAAGGAATCTCTCTTGGAAGTAAAAATTGAATCCTAGGAGATGTTTCTTGCATACTTTCCTGAAGACATTTGTAGGCAAATGTAAGAAACAGGTTACCTGAGAAGATGAACCTTTTGTTTGATTCAGTATGACGTTCCTAAGGACATGAAAATTATAAAATTCTTGTTCCATGTTTTCTTCAGTTTGCACAACAGGGCACACATGAGCTACTATCACGGCTCGGAAAGGCTGAGGCAGTACACCCTGTTAGTTATAGGAGTGACAAAGTCAATCCTTTGAAATCTTCTGCATGTCCTGATCCAATCACATTTTCTCCAAAAGCCTGAACAAGCTGACTGAGGTGGTGACTCACGCACAAAATAAATGCAACCACCTCTTAAAAAGCTTAGGGGGAAAAAAAGGCAGTAGGAAAGAAAATGAACAGTAAGATCTGTTGCATTCAGCTTCTACTACGGTGTGAACATTTTCAGCCTTGCTCTCATCCAGCCCTTCAAGCTGGACCCAAATACAGCTACATACAGCCGTAGAAAGCAGGTATAGATTTGTTTTGCAACATATGCAAGACTTCAAAACCCAATTAAGTTCATCTTTGAAGCATCTTATTTAGAATTCCATTAAATCTTGTAAGAAGATCCTAAATTCCTAAGTCGGAATGTCAAATTGATGTTTTTAGAATAACACATGAAATCCATACAAATCTCTGCTGATTTACAGCACTACCTGAAGCAGTCAGTGTAACACAGCACTACATCAGATAGTCAATTTTAAAAAATCGATATCCATAAAATCCTTTGTCTTTCAAAATTCATACAATATTGAGGGAAAAAAGGAAGCTTTCCTGCTATGTGCCATCAACCACTAAATCTACGCTTTCCTGCAAAACTTATTTTTGTCCTTCACTGAAGGGAAGGATGCTCACCAAGCATAAACCACAGATAAACAGATGATGTATTGTTTTCCCAAGTCTGCTGTTGGAATGCTTCAGTAACTTTGGTGCATACTGCTTTTCAAGAGAAGAGTAAAAATCTTGGCCAGCAACGAAGCCGGTGCTTCCATTCCATTGTTGTACAGTTTGAGAACCTGAATAAGCGAGGCAGGACTGCACAATGACAAGGTTGAAGGGGACGGACTTCTTTAGTCTGGCAAAGAGGAGGCAAGGGAGCTATGTAACAGCAGCGCGTAGCTACTTGAAGGGTAGCAACAAAGATCCCAAATGCAAACTCTTCCTGGTATTAGTGGACGATATTACAAGGGGCAATGGTCACAACTGTGGCTTGGGAGGTTCAGGGTGAACATGAGGAAAAATTCTTTCACTAGGAGGTAGTGCAGCACTGGAGCAGGTTACCCGCAGAGGCGGTAAATTCCTCTCTTTTGGGAGTCTTTTCAAGACACAACTAGACAAAACCTTGGGTGGATGGATCTAGCCTTGGCAACAGTCCTGCTTCAAGCAGGAGGCTGGACTGGGTGACCCCAGAGCTCCCTTCCAGCCAACACTTCCATGGCCAAAACCACAAAATCATCAAAGCAACACTCCTATGGCCACAAACACAAAATCATCAAAGCAAAGAAACTAAACTATGCTAAATGTAAAGCACTGTATTTAACTATAGATAATAAGCATCAACAGAAGAAGTTGATGTCAAATGGCTTTAAGTGCTATCAAAATAAAATTTCTTTTCATACTGCACATATTGTATGAGATACTTATTGAAACAACACACGCAGAACTACATCAACATTTAATGGAGAGAGTGTCAACACCGCTCCTCTGTTGTTTCCAGATTTTAAATCAAGGCTATACTGTCAAAAGTATATATTGACAAATTTATTTACAAATATTAAAGTTTTTTCCATCTGTAAACAACAACCACTCTAGTAAAAGCTTCTTGCAATGAGGTTATGTCTCATTCTGCTCTTTGCTGTCTGTCTCCATTCTTTATGCAACAACCCTGATTTTTCATTTGTTACCTTGACAGGAAATGACTGCTTGCAACACAGTTAACAGCACAGTCTTCCGGCAATCATAACTCAATGGGTTATTCTCTTTGGCTACAGACTCACCACTCCTTACGCAATGATACATTTTTGTGCCTTGCTTTGGCTATAACCTCAGTGAGGAAGGTCTATTTCATCACTTAATAATACCTATTTTTATTTGTCCTTCTACAGTTTCCTTGGCCAGGGAATCACCCTGTTGACTATCAGAAGTTATTCAGTTATTTTCCTTAGAGCAGCCTTCATTTTTAGAAGGGTTGTTTCTTCAGAAGACACAACATTCTCTGTGGTTCAGTCTACACTCTTGGCCAAGTAAATGCAAGCAGTTTTTT